TTTATAGTGATATATATATATATATATATATATTTGATTTGAGTGTCCAAATTTTTTTTAGAAAAAAATCCCTTTTTCATTTCTATCGAAAATCGATTAATCTATTTTAAATAATTTTAAATTTATAAAATTTCATTTAATATTCGGCTTAAGCAGTATTTATTTTCTTAATAAAAACTTGAAAGATGAAGTTTATATATGATAAAAAAATATATAATCATCATCATCATCATATAATATATAAAAGTTGATGGCATAGTGCATTGAGGCCGTCCACATGAGATTAAAAAACTAGATCTGATTGGTTCACATCAGCATATTCATTAAATAAAAAAATATTAAGTATGATTATGATGAAAAAACTTGATTTAATTGGTCCACATCAGCTTTTAAATCAAACCAAAAATTATTAAGTATAATTAAAATATTAAAAGTTAATTTAACAAATTATGTCCAACAAGAAAAATAAATTCAATCTGATTGATCCAAATCAACATATTTATTAAATCAGAAAATTTTAATATGGTTTAAAAATTTTGAAAGTTAAATAAAAAATTAACAATTAACAATACATGTATAAAAAAAATAACCATTATCAATTATCAATTTAAAAAAATCTACAATAATTCGATTTAATAATTAAAACAATGAAAACTGAATAAAAATATAACATAAAACTCTTGGAAGACATGATAGAGAAGGAAAAAAATAGTTTTGCATGATCATTACAGCTTCCTAACAAAATTAAATGCGGATCAATATGAATCATGTATTATATATACAGTAGTACACAATATAAATAAGACTTTCAATAAAAAGTTAAATATTTGAACACATAAACCTTCAAGAAAAAAAGAACTATAGAAATTCTATGCAAAACAGAAAATAATACCAAAATCTTAGCAAAATTATATTTCTCTAAATTAAATGTATATGTACGTCAAAGTTAGATAATTCGATAGGTGTCATTGTTATTATTTTACGTAATAGTTTTTAAAAATTTAAAAATAAAAATAGGATAAATTACACATTATATATTAAATTATCTTATATAAATAAAACTTTCTATAAATATATATAATTTTTAATAATTTTAAAGGTAGTAGCTAAAAAAATAAACTAAAGTATTAATACAGACTCGCGCATAGCGCGAATTATATACCTAGTATAATATATAAAAATTGATGGCATAGTGCATTGAGGGCGTCCACATGGGATTAAAAAACTCGATCTGATTGGTCCACATCAACATATTCATTAAATAAAAAATGTTAAGTATGATTAGGACAAAAAAACTTGATTTAATTGGTCCATATCAGCTTTTAAAACATTAAAAGTTAATTTAACAAATTATGCTATACAAAAAAATAAATTTAGTCTAATTGATCCATATCAAAATATTTATTAATCAAAAAATATTAATATGGTTTAAAATTTTTAAAGTTAAATAAATAAATTAACAATTAACAATACATGTATAAAAAAAGCAACCATTATCAATTATCAATTTTAAAAAATCTACAACAACTCGATTTAACAATTAAAACAATGAAAACTGAATAAAAATATAACATAAAACTCTTGGAAGACATAATAGAGAAGGAAAAAATGGTTTTGCATTATCATTACAGCTTTCTAACAAAGTTAAATGCAAATCAACATGATTCATGAATTATATATACATTGGTACACAACATTAATAAGACTTTCAATAAAAAAACTAAATATTTGAACACATAAACCTTCAAGAATAAAAAGAACTATAGAAATTCTATGGAAAACAGAAAATAATATCAATATCTTAGCAAGATTATATTTCTCTAAATCAAATGTATATGTACGTCAGATTTGGATAATTCGATAGGTGTCATTGTTATTATTTTACCTAATAGTTTTTAAAAATTTATAAATAAAAATAGGATAAATTACATATTATATATTAGATTCCTCTTATATAAATGAAAATTCTATAAATGTATTATATTTTTACTAATTTTAAAGATAGTAGCTAAAAAAATAAACCAAAATATTAATAAAATCTTGCGCCTAGCGTGAGCTATATACCTAGTATTATTAAATGAGAAGCAAGTTGGGTTGTGGTTGAGAGTTATGGTGGTTGATTATTTTTTACCCCTTATATGAAAATACTTTATTTACTCTTAATGAAATTAACAAATTAATATAATTTAGTTTTTTATTAATTTTCATTTTCTTTAAATATAGATTTCTAAATTCGAGTTTATATCATAAGAATATTCAGTATACTAAGAAAAGGTAATTAGAATAAATCATAAAAAATATCATATTATAAATTGGAGCTTTTTCATTACTCTCACTAAATATTACATATAACTAACTTTAATAAAAAGCTATAACTAAATTATTAAACCAATTTTAATCCAATCTGATAGAAGTAAACAAAAATAGTCTTAGGTAATAATTACCAGCATAGCCTAATTCGAACATTGCTAATAGTTTTAGGTGAACCCTAATTATTATTTTTGGCCAACCCTAACATATTTAATAAAAGCCCTAATCCCCTCCCATAATGTGTATATATTTCTTGCTAGGTTACTTTATAACTTCTCGCCATTAGTTCTATTTTTTTTTCTGTGACTCTTTCAATATTTTGTGCTACTTATGTAGATTTTTATGTTTTTGTCTTCATGTCTACATGATTCAGGTTTGGAGGTTAGGTTGTGATTTATATGAATGATTGTTTTTAAAAAAAATATTTTTACTTTTATGACTGTGTTGTAATGTTGTTTAAGCGTTTTTATCGTCATGTGTATGTTTGATTATTTTCCCCCCTTCTCTCTTTTTGTTGTAGATCGTTCTGTAACATTGTACGTTGAGTAAGATGTGTTTTTGTTTAGTTTATCATGTTCTGTAATTTGATGCTTGTGTTGTTTTAACTTAGTTTATGTTAGTTCTGGTGTATTACTCTTATTTGCCTTTTTATTTTGTGTCTCTTTAATCGAATGATCCATATTATCTTCATCATCAACAAGATATGTTTTACCTAACATATTTAGTTTATTTTATTTTGTTAATTATGTTTCTGGAGTCGATTTTGTTGTTATTTTAATCAATTTTTTATTGTGTTCGAATCTTTGTATCCGTAAGTTTCTAAATTTTATGGTGTAGGGTTGTTCAAGGATACTCTCATAGAACAATCTGGTTATATATAATTTCTCTGCTTTTTTGACTTTTTTTTGGTTTAGATAACTCTTAATAGATTTCTAATTATACTTACGGGAATAATATTTTTCAAGCTCTTGAAACTTCTTTCCACCATTAAGAAACGACTCGACAGATATGTTGTCTCGTTGGATTCTCAGCTTATACTTTTAGATTTGTTTTATAAAGTTAAATATTCGACATATTTTTTTTTATTTTTGACTTTGGTGTTTATTATAAAGTAGGAATGAAGTTCAAAAATGAGACTCGGTTCGATACTTTAAATGTTGAAGCTCATGTTCATATACAATAGATTTACTGACTTTGGTTTTTGGCTAATGTTTCTCGTGAATTCGTTAAGGATTGTCTTTTTTGTTGACTATATTCAACTTATAATCTTTTGTAATTTTTTTTATCATTGCATCTTTATTTATAATTGCAGTGTCTCTAATGCAAATTGAGAATAATAAAGACAAGAAAACTGTTATTGCATCTATACTTATATTGCAGTGCCTCTTATTCAAATTGAAAATTATGAAGACAAGAAAATAGAAGCTAACAATTTGGAAAGATTAGTGGAATTATCAACTAGGAAGATGAATAAAAAATAGTTTAGAGCATAACTAATCTAACGTTTATAGTCACAAAGTACTAACACTTTATATAGTATGCTATTCTTTAAAGATGACTTTACCATTAGGACCACTAGATTTTGGAAAAATGATTTTACTCCTAGCTCTTGAAAGAAAACTTAGGTAAATGTTTAAAGTTTAATTATCTACTATGTTTATATCTATTACATATTACATGCATTTTAATTATATATAATAATTGTTTTTATTTTGTTATTCATATGTATTTTGAAATTAATATTTTTTTAGATTATCTTTCTTTTGATAAAATTATCTTTTGATTTTAATAGATATGCTAGAGAATTTTAAAGATCTTATCTTTATCTGATTGTATCTACATATTTATAGTACCAACAAATAAAATTATTTCTGAACTCAGTGGAACGTTTAATTTTGATACGAGATGGCGTGGTGCATGAAACTGTTTTATAGGTTTATGTATATTTTTTGTTTTGTATACTTTTTACTTTTTTAGAGTGACAATATTATCGTAAAAATATAGGAAAAGTATGTTAATAAGTAAAAAGATACATAAAAGAAAAAAAATTTATTTAAATGATGAGAGAAACAACTTCTATATTCATTCATACAACAAGAAAAAGACAATTAATTTTTTTTTTTTAAATTACAATATGTTACATTATATATTAGTTTTTCTTCTTTTATTCACTCAAATACTGTTAGTAACTATCATATTGCTGTTTATAATTTTAACTTTTAATATGTATTAGTGTCTCCACAAAATCCGGTCAAAAATGAAGACTGTACAATTGCCTTCTTAAAAAATAGCAAACTTTATAATTATAACTTTATATTTATCTATCTTTAAACAAATTAATATTATCAATTTTAGAAATCGAATTGAACAAAAATTAATTAACAAATACATAATCAACTAGATTTTAAAAGACGGTGAAGATAAATAATAGTATAGTATAGTTGATTCATCCCGACTTGAATTTATACATACCTTGAAACTTGGGCCTCGTGGATAAGATACTTCTTGTGTTTGACGAAAATTTATTTTTCTATTTCATTTGTGTCGGTCACATCGATATGTGAATGACAGAAATATTTTCTAAAAAATCTTTAAATAAGAACGAAGAGCTAACTACATACACATATAGGCAGAGCATTCACTATATTCTTACTAATTGTCACTCTAAAAGCCACAATAGAAAGAAAAAAATGGCTCGTATAATCCATTTCCTCTGCGTAGTGCATTTCACCTTCGCAAACACATCACACTCGGTACACGAGAAGCCTCAAGCTTTTTTACAACCTATTCGTAAAGACAAGGCCACAAATCTCTACTACTCTCCTTTATCGATCGGTGTCAACATGCTCAACGGGACATACTATAAATCCTACAACATCAATCTTGCCATTGACCTCGGCGGCTCTGCGCCGTTGTTGCTAACCTGTGCCGCGGCAGCCAAATCCCGTTCTTACCACCCAATCAAATGTGGCTCTTCTAGATGCAAACAAGCCAAACCGATTCTTTCTCCTGTCCCACCAATACTTCAAAGAAGCCACATCTCAAAAAGCGGCGGACGTAAAAAAATTATTTATATTTAGTTTAAAAAAAAATTATAATAAAAAATTATAATTATAAAATTTTTATTAAAAAATAATATCTTATAATAAATTTTGAATTTTAAGTTTTTTAAAAATATACTGATAACAAAATTATTTTCACCGATTTTTAGATATTTTTACATATAAAAATATATACTTTTTTAAAAAAGTGTATAAATAATAATAAAATAGCTTTTATATAAAATTAGACTATAAACTATTTGATAAACATTTAATAAAATTTAATATTTTTAGTTATTTGTTTTTAAGTATATAATAGTAAAAAAATATATAAAAAAACTAGTTTATTAAAATTTTAAAAAAGAAAAATAATAATATGTATATTAAAAATATAAAAATAAAATGTTATAAAATGTTATAAAATATAATAAAATATAATAAAAAAAAATAGAAAAAGTTAGAAAAAGATATGAGAATGGTTTACATGAAAATTAAATAAATAAAGAAAATATGAAAAATACAATATAATTTTTTCTGAAAAATTTCAAATATTATTATCCAAAACCAACTAATCTAACATATAAGGTATAGTAGTTGCTCATTAGAAAATTTATGCAATTAGTGTGGAGCACGTACTCCACCTCATCACCATGTAGATCCGCCCCTGGTCAAAAATCATTTTCCACTTCTTTCACTGAGCATCCCATCAAGATTCGTCTCCTCCGAGACACTGTCTCTTTGGTTTACACGGACAACGGCTTCACCGTGATAGGTGGCGAAATCGATTTGCAGATGACTATAGCTTGCACCGACGTTAATGTTGACCCTTTGTTCAAATCCTTTCCATCGATTGTTGTTGGGACATTGGGTCTCCCTAAGACCTTTATGGCCCTTCCTTCGCAGGCCGTTTCTTTTTACAAACTACCCTCAAAGGTGGCTCTTTGTTTGCCTTCACCAAACTCCGGAGACCCTTCTGGATCTGGGGCTCTTTTCATTGGTGGTAGTACTTATTTCATGGCGCTTTATCTTGAAGATGTCTCTAAGATTTTTGCCTCCACGCCTCTGCTCCCTAGTGATCCATCTCGTGGTGAGTACTTCATCGGTGTGAAGTCCATCCAAATTAGTGAAAAGACGATTCCTTTCATTAAGAAAAGCACCAAGATCTGCAACTTGACTCCTTACACGGTCTTGCACAGCACCATTTACAAGGCTCTGGACTTAGCCTTTGCCGGAAAAGCCAAGATGGCTAATGCTCCAGCAGTGAAGCCTTTTGGATCGTGTTTCAGCTCCAAAGGACTTGGAAAGTTGATGATGGGAAGTCGTGTTCCGGTGATCAATTTAGTGCTGAATGGTGGGGCTAAGTGGAGAATTTATAGGTCAAATTCGCTTATAAAAGTGAGCAAAAATGTGGTTTGTTTAGGTTTTGTGGATGGATGTATGGATATGAAGAGGGCGATGGTGATTGGAGGTTTTCAGATGGAAGATAATTTAGTCGAGTTTGATCTCAAGGCTTCAAAATTCTCTTTCTCGGCCTCTCTTTTGCTTATTAACTCTTCTTGCTCACAGTCAAGGCACTTCTGATTCGAGTCTAGTGTACCTTTTTCTGGTTTGTAATGTTTTAAGATCTGGAAGATATTTACTATTAACCTAATCCATGTTTATGGTTGTGACCTCATTAGATTAGAAGTTGAGAACAAAAATAGCAGATGCAAAATGAACTGAAATAGAGTGCAATTTTTTTGGGTTGCACCTTCATTACTTACTTGGGAAGATATTCAAAATAAAAAAAGAAAAAAAAATATTCTAAAAATTACTTGGACGGGGTCAACTCGCGATCAAGAACACGAATGACCTAAGCTTGTGACCTCCATTGCGTTTAGGAAGGGTGTTTATAAAAAAAGGCAATATATTTTTGTAAAATGTCAAAATAAATTTTGTACCATAAATGTTAATTTTCAGATTAATGTGTGAGAGAAGAGAACCTTTTTCTGATTTATATGTTACTAGGTGTTTTCCCGCACCTTGTGCGGGTTCAATTAAAATTTTCAAAAGTAATAACATCAGTTTATTTATAAATAAAAAACATATTTTATAATTATTCTAAAGCAAAATTAATATATTTGAAAAATACAATTTTTATGAGTATATTATTTTTTGTGACAAAGCAAAATATATTATTTATATTTTATTTTCTAATATATTTTATATTATCCGATAAAAATTTATATGTATGTTTTGTTGTTTTACTGTATTTATAAAACATGATAAGTAATTCTCTTCTTGTGGTGTAATTGGCACATTATGATTAACGAAATTCAAAGTTTGCATAAAAAAAATATAGCAATCTGAAATGACCAAAACCAAATGATCTTTGTTTCATATTAACTTAACATTAATTAATATATATATATATATATATATATATAGAGTTTTAAAAATGTTTAAAGGATTTAGGGTTTTACTTGTGACCGTATAAATCAATTAGGTTATTAAAAATATTAGTAGGTTAAACAATCAAATTAAAATTAGTTATAGTAAATAATTAAGATTATTTTTGTGATTTATGCTAGTTACATTTTTTTAGCATACTGAATATTTTTATGATATAATTTCGAATTTGGAAATCTAGATTTAAAAACAAAACAAAAATCAATTAAAAAAAAATAGATTATATATATTTGTTAATTTCAATAAGATCTTTTTATATAAGGGAAAAAATGTAATCAACCATCATAACTCTAAACCACAGCCCAACTTGCTTCTCAATTAATAATATGATGTGTGTCAGTTATTATGTAACGTGTACTTACAAGTAAACATAACTCGTTAAGTAAATATAACACGTTGAATATTAATACTGTATTTTTAAATATAAACTAGATTTTAGACCTGTTGATAGTTTACTATATTTGAGTATTTTACACTGCATTTCATGCATCTTTTCCCTTGTTTTTGCATTATAGTTTAGTATTTTAGTCTCATTTGCACTTACAATCAACATTGCATGTACTTAGTCTAGGATTGCACGCATATGCATATATTTGCATGTTTGTGATGTTTTCAGGTGTTTATGGAGATTTTTACAACTTGGAGAGGAGATGGAAACAGCTCCCTTTCAAAGGAGATGCCAAAGGAGGAGTTTTGTAAACTATGTGTCCATATCGAGGTCCAGCATCGAGCAGAACACCCATGAAACTTGCCCGATGCGGAGCGTGGGACGATGAAGAAGAATTTGATCAAGGAACTCCGAGACTGCACCGGAGTAGTGCACCGTGCTAAGTATGCCATACAAGCCGATACGAAGAAACATGGCATATCGAGGTCCAGCATCAAGCTGAACACCCGACCACCCGCCCGATACGACCCAAGACTTGTTGTATGCCGAAGTAACCAGTGAGCAACCGAACTGCGACGTGAGCTATTCTACATCGAGCATACATCGAGCAGAACACCCATCCATGCACCCGATGCGTCAACGCCAAGAGTTGACCAAGCCTTGCTCTACTTTTTGTCAAACCTTATCTTTTTGGCTTATTTAAGCTAAACCTTATCTTTTCTAGCACTCACCTTATTCTTTATCTTATTTTCGACCTGAGGGGAAACCCAAAAGGGGGATTTGATGAGATTTTGATCAAAATCACTCTTTTAATAAAGTTTTGCACTTCCTTTGTTATTTTCCTTCTAGTTTATGTTTAATCACGTTTGATCTGTCCTTTATGCTGGTTTCTGTTGATTTCATGATGTGTTGTGAGTAGTTTCATATGGTTTGAGGTTAGAACAGATTTGGGGATGATTGATTGATAACTTACGGAGTTTTGGTTTGATTCATGCTTAGATCACTTAGCTTAGTTGTTCTTAGTGCTTAGTAACTCTTTTAGGGTGAAACTGATCTTAGGTGTATGCCGCATCAAAAGTGTTTGTTTAAATTCCTGAAAGAACTTTGCTAGGAACAAACTCCTAGATGATTATATTGCATTTAGGTTGTTTGTTTTGTCTTTAAGAATCTTGTGTTTTCATGCTGGTTTTGCACAAATACGTCATCACAAGTGGGTCTGACATGTGCTTAACTTAGACATCTCTGTTCTGTTTGCAGATTGATTAATTTAGTGGCTTGATCATGTTCTTTGCTTGTTATTGGTCTTGACTACCCTATGTTTGATACTAAGTAATCCCCATGTCATCATTGCTCTAGCCTTGAACCTGCGCCTGATTGATCTTTGCATTTGATCATTTTGTGTTCTGTTTTTCCTCTGTTTTGATTTGCATTGTTCTTGCTTTATTCCTTACCTTGCATTTCAAGTTATTGCATTTAGCTTCCATTTTGGTTTTTGCATTTCTATTGCTTTGCTTACTTTAGTCCTCCTGCATCTATTTCATTTCCTTGTTAGTTTCTGTTGCATTTAGATTCTTTGCATTGCACTACTTGCTTTACTCTTAATAGGATTGGATCTCACTTGTGCGCTTCATCTTTAATTGCTTATGTTGTTAGAATCATCCTTCTTCATCATACATGGTTAAGCTTTGTTAGTGCCTTGCATGTCTTCATCATACATCTGATTAGAGAGGGATTGAGTTAAGACTTGCAAAAGTCCTTCTTCAATTTTGTGCTGTTGCCATTCTAGGATTGCTTAGATAATTGAGTTTAGGTTCTTGCTTAGACTTAACAACTTTTTAGTGTACTAATCACTTTAACTTTCTTGCTCTGTTTTCTCAGGTACCATGGCTAATCCAAACCACTTTGGACCTGCTCATCAGGCTCAATTCAGAGAGGATGAAGCTCCAGCTCAGCGGTTACATAGGCCAGTGCCTCAGATTGCTAGAAGAGCACAACACATTGGTTCTCATGATGCTCCTTACCTTCATACTAGACGGAGAGGTATACTTCCTCCACCATCTCAAGAGCATTACTTTGAGATCAAAAGTAGTGTGATTGCAATGGTACAAGCCAACCGCTTCAATGGCACATCTATGGAGGATCCGCTTGATCACTTGGACAGCTTTGAGAGTATTTGTAGTTTACAAAAGATCAGTGGTGTCACAGAAGATGGTTTTAAACTGAGGTTATTTCCCTTCTCTCTTGGTGATCGTGCACATTTGTGGGAAAGATCTTTGCCTTATGGATCAATTTGTTCTTGGGATGATTGCAAAAGAGTGTTTCTTGCAAAGTTTTACTCTTATACCAGGACAGCTACACTAAGGCATAACATATCAGGTTTCAAGCAATTGCTAGACGAGCCATTATGTACAACATGGGAAAGATTTCAAGGCTACACCTTGCGGTACCCTCATCATGGTTTCTCAACAGAGTCACTGCTCAGCACATTTTATAGAGGAGTGTCACTAAGGTTCAAAATGCTATTAGACACATCCAGTAACAGCCACTTCTTGGGTACAAGTGTTGAAAATGGTTTGCAGCTGATTGAAAACCGTGCAATGAGCAATGGCAACTACGCAGATGAGTATGAGGATACCTACAAGAGGAGTAATGACGCTTCTTTTCTCCAAACACAGAAGGATGTGATCGCAATCAGTTCTAAGCTAGATTTGTTGCTTGAGAAATCTCTGCATCCATCACCAAAGGTTAAAGAGAAGAAGTCAACAATTGGTCATGCTTACAACTTAGAAGCGGAAGCATACTATATGCAGCAACGACAAGATGTGCAGCATAAGCCTTACAAGGATACAAGATACAAGCTATGACAGCTACAATCCTCCAGTCCTCAAGTGCAAGGGAGAGTGTTCCATTATACAACCAGCTTGGTCTTCGCATTCAACAACACCACAGCTTTACATCTTCACATGAAGCACTTCAGAAAAGTATGTGTGCAACTGAGTATGAGCCCCAACATAAAATAGCAGCATCACCAGTTCAGGATATCCCTAGTACTTCACCTGCAACACCATCTACACCTGATATAGCCACAGCTAGACTGCTTAAGCAGTTAGTTACTTTCCGCTCACACACAGAGTACAATGGAGATGCAGGCCGCTCATCAAAGGGAGGTGCTTGCTAATAAAAAGAACACAATGGAGATGCTTGCTACCCAAAAGAGCCTACTGCAGGAGTTTGAGAAAGTTCATGATGAGCTTGTTATGCCTAAAGCCAACAAGGTCTCCTCTCCTACAGCTCCACAACAACCGCCACCAGCTGTGCAAGCAATAACTACTAGGAGTGGCAAACAGATACAAGGTACTGTAGCCCCAATACCTCTCCATGAGGACATTGAGAAGCAAAGTGGGGGGGGGGGGGGGGGGGGGGGTGCCTCTTGAGACTCATGAAGAAGAAACCGAAGCTGAAGCAGAGATGGAAAGGAGAGCTGAGGTAGAGCGTGTGAGAAAAGGAAAACAAGTGGTTGCTGAAGCACAAAGAGAAGCCATACAGCCTACAAGGAAGAAACCTGACTTCTCATTCCTCCTCCTTACAAACCACCACTCCCCTTTCCAGGAAGGATCAAGAAACAGTTAGTGGAGAAGTACAAGCAACATTTTGAGAAGCAGATGGAAACTGTGGAGATAACTATGCCTATGCTTGATGCATTCTTGTTGGTGCTTCAATATCAGAAGTTTTTGAAGGATGCAGT